AACAGTTCTCCTTTTTCTTTTGGGATAAAGGTCTTACATAAATGAATAAACAACTAATCATTGCAAGCACCCTTGTAAGTGTTAAATGGTTTGTGTTCACCCTTTTATTGCTACTTTTGCTGGACAGGTCTGTTAACCCCTAGATTCCGGGTGCACGTAAATATGCGGCCTCTCAGAGTCTGGGCCTTGTCGCCGAACAGCCGCATATTTGCGTGCCATTAGAAAATACATATGTGCTGAGAGTGCTCACCCTGCGCGCTCCCAGCACATATGTCCGTGACTCACGGAAAGGTCCCGATCTCCCCTTTTGATCGGGACCTTTTCTGATCATGTGACCACCATAATGGCAAATCACGGCGGTCACATGACCCTATAACCCCGTTCCGCCTCCCGGCTTCTGAAACTCTTAAAGGGCCGGGAGGCGCCAGCGCAAAGGGGTTAAATGACGTTGAAAAATAACACACTTAATGGCAGAATCACCAGATGAATATAAAGGAATAAAAAGCCAAAACAAAAAGAAAACTAAGGCAGCCACCTCATCTGAGAATTGGTAAGCTGTAATATAATACATTTTTGAATGTAAATGTAATACTTCTGTAGGTATGAATTACTCCATATTGTCTGCAGCTACAGAGGTCAGCGCAGGCTTGTAAAACATCCTGATTTACCGTTTGTTAAGAATATGTATGTAATCAAATGTCCATACCCTGGCCACAGATATATTTTAAGAACAAAATGACCTTTTACTGTCTGAACACCAAAATAAAGCATATCAAACTTTAAACCTGTGCACAAAGTCTTGTTAAAGCATGCTTGACTGACCGTTTACTCGGGAGGATTAATTCTGCTTTAACAAATTATAAATTCTGAACCAATGCGTCTCTAACATAATTCTCCAGTACAACCTAGGTATCTCTTTTCTTACACAGTTTATGTCTCCTTTTCAAAAGGAAATCCTGTATATACAGTATATACTGCATACAATATATATATATATTTACCCTATAAAGGTATAATAGCGATTTGTTAACGTCGAGATTTTACTGCGGCAAAAAGCTGCCAAATGACCCATTTTTAAGTGTCACAGTGCAGCTCTGACTCATGTGACCCATTCTGACACATTTAGTGCAAACTGCCTAGACATGACTTCTTTGATACTGTCATTTTTTGCTGTGGGTTTTCTTCTTGTTGTATGCAGGTTTGGAGATTGCATTAACTGATGCAGACTCTTCATTCTCATTATACAGTATAAAGCTTAGACTCAGCTAATACAGCAATCCTTGTGATCTCCTGCAAACTACTATGTATTAGATTAGTTCCTCTATGTAATCTCCCTCTGAGTAGCTGAACTGTACATTTTTCAATAACCTTTTTTCAGGATTATTTCCTCTGTTGCTGTGTCATAATCAAAAGGCTTTGCTAGACATTTTAACTTGGTCACATAACTATCAATTGTTTCTCCCATTTCTGTGTAGCTTGTCTTAACATACTATACGTATATCTTTCATTAGGTATCTTCTTCTGTATCTTTTTTCAAGCTGTTCTGAACCTCAGGTCCCACCAAATGCAACAGAAATTCTAATTCCAGTTTTCTTTAGAGTAAGTTCACCTTCAGCAAGATTTTCCAATTCCCGCCCCACCGCAGTTCCGTATAGTACATACCAGCGCTCCTCCTGGTTTAAATGGTGCACAACCTCTTGTTACACATGCAACTGTTGGGGAGCGGGGCTATTCACAAAAATTGTAGCCTTTTGATCCCCCTCCTTCTTGCCATTTGCCTGATGGGCTGGACATTACAATTGTGTGCCCCCTAGTGGCTGCTCTGGCCTGTTTAAACTGCATGCGTTGCACATCGGGCTATCCCCTGCCTAAGCTGAGCTCAGGATAAAGTCAAAAAAGGTGTGGGAGGGATAGGGATTGAGGTGTAGGGGATATCACCGATGTAACACTGCTCTAATTTGAAGCAGCGATATGCCTCAAGGAGGAGATCAGTTTTTTATGTTAAGGCTAATCTGCTTGAGCCCTTGCTATAGGTGGTGCTCTGTAGTTGCATGTAATTAGGCAATATGTCTCTCTGTCATTTATCAACCCTAAATGGTTTGCTCTCTTAACCAATGTGCAAGTCCCTAAGTGAGGATACTTGACATGACATGGTGTTTGTGCAAAAACATAGTTTCTTACAAATGCTATATGATCTGCTATAGGTATCCCTGGTATTTGAGTGGTTTAGGAAAAGTCATATCTGCAGGTAGGAGGCCCACATGAGGAATTATGTGTCCTCAGTCAGCATAGTGAGATCTAGGCAGTTCCAAAAGACTCCTTGACTAAAGAAAAGACCTGCTGAGTTGTAAGCACGCTGGAAAATCTGGATTTTGTGTGAAAGAAGTATTATTGCTTGGTATCAAGGACAGTGATAAAGTTTTACAAGTCAGGCGAAAGAACTGTAGAGTTGGTCCTGTAAGTGGATGACTGAAGGCTTCCCCAAGTCTCTCCATATCTGATTCACAGTATCACTTTCAATGCACCCTGAGTGAAGTATTTTGCTAAGCTGACCCAATATTTTGAATATGAGTGCACATCCCAATCCAATTGCCACGATTTATAGTACAGCTTCATTTTGGAAAGGTCAATGCCTTCTTTGTCTTTTGGGAGAAACATATGTGATAAACCAGGGGCAGACTGACAACTCATGGGGCCCCCCGGGCAATAGGGGATCATGGGGCCCCTGTGTCCTTGCCCAAACTCAAAAAAGCCTATGAAAAAGGTACCAGGGGCATCTCATCTGGCCCCCTACTGACCCCGGGCCCTCGGGCAGTGCCCGAGTTTCCAAATGGTCAGTCCGCCCCTGTGATAAACTTATTCTCAGTTTAGCTGCTTTGCAGATAAAATACCTGAAAGTCCTTCGCAGATAGGAAAAAAATGCTGGAGAAAGTTTAATGGGCATGGCCTACATGACATACATAAATCTAGGTAGTCAGTCATTTTCAGCGTGGCTGTCCTGCCAAACCATGAGAGGAATGGGTTATCCCAGTGTTTAGTATCTAACTGCAAATTTTTTTGGGGGGTAAAATTGAATTCCTAGTTAGGCAATTGCCCCTGGTTCAAAATGAATGGAAATTCATGTTGACTTCTAGTTCTTAAGGGCATATGATTTTGTGGAACTGGCATATTTTTATCTACAGTATCTGTTCAGCTAGTTTTCTCGATGTGATTATTGCTAAGAATGATTTTGACTTTAATTTGACTTTTATTTGACTTTAATTTTACTATTAAAAGGGGTGTCTAAAATTAATCTAAAAGTTTTTAGTAGATGTTAAGGTGAAACAAACATACTGTATCTCCAAGGACTCTGTAGTGTTACTCGTCTGGATGTTTGGTTGGTTAGTTATGTTAAAGCAATCTTTTCTTAGAGACACATAGGGCTGTCATTGCCACTCCCAAACTGAATATAACTAGTACACTGGTCAACTATCAGTGCTCATTCCAGGTCAAACGTAACTCAAACCATATGGATTCAAACCTTATTGAACCCAGTTGACCAGTGTACTAGCTATCTTCAGTTTGGGAGTGGCAATGACAGCCCTATGTGTCTCTAAGAAAAGATTGCTTTAACATAACTAACCAACCAAACATCCAGACAAGTAACACTACAGAGTCCTTGGAGATATGTTTATTTAACCTTAGCATCTACTAAAAACTTTTAGATTTATTTTAGACACCCCTTTTAATACCCACACATTTCCAATTGGTCATGTAAGTTTGTAGCATGCATGAGCATCTAATGGAGCTACAATATTGGGAAATTAGTGGAATATATCTAATGTAAGACACTACATTGCAGCAACGAAACGTTCATTTCTATTATAACATTATGTGACAAGGAATGCACACAAAGGCATACACAATTCCAGCTAAGCTTTTATATATAACCTTGACATGTTTTAAGCCAAACTCGTATAATTAGTTTGCAACATTGTGCAACTAATGCACACTATTTACAGAGGAATTGTCTAAGCCTAACATATTTGAGCTTAACAGCTTGTACTTAGAAGTAACAGAAATCAATGATCACTTTTTTTCTTTAAAGCTTAACACAGGGCCTGTGCCCCTCTGCCCCTCTGCCCCCTGAGGACCCCATCCCTCAAGTTGAGAAAAACAGTTGAGAAAAACAAACTAAGGTACGGAAGAACTGATTTTTGAGCCATACTGATTCATGTTTATGATCAAAACAATATAAGAAATATGTTTTATGGGGGGTGAAAAAAGAGGGGAATTAGTGGAAGGAGTGGGAGGAGAAGTGGATATCTAGAAAAAGTGGTGAGCAGAAAGGGAGGGAACAGGAATAAACAGCAGCCAGGGGGCCACAGGTCCACTCTTAAGAAGGAAACCAAGAGATCTAATACGTAACTATATAAACCTCTCACATACACACAAATTTATGACACGTTGAAAAGAGCACAGCCCTGCTCCGGTAGCAAAATTACTACAGAGGTGTGTGACTGACGCAGGGAAACGCAGACTTCAGATATGTGATAAACAATATAATTTATTAACACTAACAATACAAAACATAAACGCAGTGCAATACTAAACATAAAAAAATAACAGTGCAAACAAACCAAACCAACCACCCACAGATAACAGTACATACAAGCAAGCGTCGTCAGGCAGGCCGGGTCAATATCAATTGGGCAGGTAGGTACAGGGGGAGCAAGCGGAGATTGGTCGGGATCACAGGCCAGGTTCAGCAGGTAGCTAGCAGCGTAGTACAGGGGTCAGGACAGAGGGATGGTCAGGGTCACAAGCCAGGGATCAGAACAGGGCTAAGCAGGCAGCGTAGTACAGAGGGTCAGCAGAGGATGGTCAGACAAGCCAGGGATCAGAACAGGTAGCAGAGAATCAGACAGGAACAGAGAGCAGGAACAGGATACAGGGGTCAAGAGAAACACAACACCAAGGCCGAGTCATGCAAGTCTGGCCATCCCTTAAATACCCCCAGCATAATCAGTTCCAGTGTTAGCTGGCTGCAAAGTTGAGTCTCTGATTGCTGGGAGCATCCGCTGGCCAGCCCTGGTACTGCAGATCAAAAGGCAGGTGAGTCCCACCATTGCTGGCTAGTCCCATTCCTGACAGTACCCCCCCTCAAGGAGCGGGCCTCAGGACGCTCCAAACAGTCCTAGCTGGGCAAAATGTTTCCACCGCCCGGGTCTGGTAACTGGCGGGATATCAAAGACTGGCACACTCCGGGCAGGACTCCGGGCAGCGGCTCACCCGGGCAGGACTCCGGGCAGCGGCACCACCGGCAGGGGCACACGGGCAGGGGCACATTGGGCAAAGGCACACCGGGCAGAAGGCACATCGGGCAGAGGCACATCGGGCAGGACTCCGGGCAGAGGCACATCGGGCAGGACTCCGGGCAGAGGCACATCGGGCAGGACTTCGGGCAGAGGCACATCGGGGCAGGACCTCCGGGCAGAGGCACATCGGGCAGGACTCACGGGCCAAGAGCAGAGGACATCGGGCTGGATCCGGGCAGAGGTGGGACATCGGGCAGGGCACTCCGGGCAGGGGGATCAGGCAAACATCGGGATTACCAGGGCGAAGCAGCAGGCAGCAGGCCACCGGGCGGGGCAGCAGGCACCGGGCCCCCGGGCGGGGCGACAGGCGTCGGGCCCCCAGGCGGAGCGACAGGTCTCGGGCCCTCAGGCGGAGCGGCGGGCGCCGGACCCCCAACAGGTGGAGCGACAGGTCTCGGGCCCTCAAGGCGGAGCCGGCGGGCGCCGGACCCCCAGGTGGAGAGACAGGTCTTGGGCCCCCAGGTTGGAGAGACAGGTCTCGGGCCCCCAGGCGGAGCGGCGGGCGCCGGACCCCCAGGTGGAGCGACAGGTCTCGGGCCCCCAGACGAAGCGGACGGGCACCGAGTCACCAGGCACGACAGTGGGCACCGAGTCGTCTGGCAAGACTGGGGGCACCGAGTCAACTGGCAGGAACAGCGGTGGCATCGAGTCAACTGGCGGAACTGCCGGCACCGAGTCGTCTGGCAAGACTGCGGGCACCGAGTCGTCTGGCAAGAACTGCGGGCATCGAGTCAACTGGCGGAACAGCGGGCAATGGACGAGTCATCTGGCAAGACTGCGGGCACCGAGTCGTCTGGCAAGGACTGCGGGCACCGAGTCCACTGGGAACAACGGGCACCGAGTCCAACTGGCGGAACAGTGGGCACCGAGTCGTCTGGCAAGACTGCGGGCACCGGGTCGTCTGGCAAGACTGCGGGCACCGAGTCGTCTGGCAAGACTGCGGGCACCGAGTCGTCTGGCGAACAGCGGGCATCGAGTCAACTGGGGAACAGCGGGCATCGAGTCAATGGCGGACTGCGGGCACCGAGTCAACTGTTCTGGGCACTGCGGGCACCGAGTCGTCTGGCAAGACTGCGGGCACCGAAGTCGTCTGGCAAGACTGTGGGCACCGAGTCATCTGGCAAGGACTGCGGGCACCGAGTCGTCTGGCTAGACTGCGGGCACGAGTCGTCTGGCAAGACTGCGGGACACCGAGTCGTCTGGCAAGACTGCGGGCACCGAGTCAACTGGCGGAACAGCGGGCACCGAGTGTCGTCTGGCAAGACAGTGGGCTCCGAGGGTCAACAGGCACGACAGTGGGCACCGGGTCATCAGGTATCGGATTGTCTGGCTCGACAGCGGGATCGGGTCACCAGGTATGACAGCGGGCACTGGGTCTCCCAGGCATCAGGTCATTTGGCTTGCCAGCGGGCACCGCGTCATCTGGCAAGGCAGTGGGCACCGGGTCACCAGGTATGACAGCGGGCTCTGAGTCAATTGGCACGACAGCGGGCACTGGATCAGGTACCGGATCATCTGGATCAAACAGCGGGCATCGAGTCAACTGGCCTAATAGGATCGTCGGGCTGGATCAGTTTCATCATGCTGAGTAGCGCATCAGGCTGAATGCAGGCATCAGGCCGAGAGTAGAGGCTTCAGGCTGAGTAGAGGCTTCAGGCCGAAGTAGAGGCTTCAGGCCGAGTAGAGGCATCCGGCCGAAGAGAGGCATCCGGCCGAAGAGAGGCTTCAGGCTGAGTAGAGGCCTTCAGGCTGAGTAGAGGCTTGAGGCTGAGTCACGGAAGGCAGGTTCACCGTTTTGGATACTGGCAGGATGGTATTGGTTGGAAAGAATTTTCGCTTTTTCTGGTTTTAACTAACTGGAGGCACTGCAAGTAAAGCGCAGTCTGCAAACGAATGGAGCAGCTGGAGACAGAGAAAAACTGGAGGATGGAACAGGAGAGGAGCAGTTGCTACAGAGGACTTTTTTACAGGGTTTTAAAGGCAGGATAGGTGCAGCGAGTGGGAACAGGGTACTGACATGCGGTAGATAGCCAAGTATACTGGGCTTGTAACTGGAGGAGCTGGTGGGAATTTACAGGAGTAGAGTTAGAAATCAGGGACTGGGTTTTATGTAAGCTGACTGAGGCTGGGGTGCAACAAGTCTGGTCCATGTCTGCAGTATGGGTTGAGAAACAAAGCTGAGCTTACACAAAGCCTGTCTGGTCAATGACTGCACTGCGTTTATACAATCTCTTTCCCAGTGTCCTGTGGTGAACATGTGGAATAACGCTCCAGAAAGTAACCCACATCATCCTCTAATAACCACACCAGGGACTCTACCTGGTCTGCACTAAATGGTGGCAAAAATTCATCCTGTATTCGGGGGAACCAGATGAAACCAACTCAGCACAAACCTCAATCAATGGCTGCACCTCAGAGAACTCTGTGCCCTGATCTACTAGAACATTGAGCGAGCCGTATACATTCTAGTAGTTGATCCCCATGGGATACTCCTTCAGAGTTTGATAAGCATACTCCCCCTTGTCATCAAACACTAGCAGATATAAATACACAACCTCATCCAGATCCATCCTTCCCAGCAACAAGCCAAGATGGCTTCCCTGTGCAGCCACTTCTGGTCAGGATTGGCCTTGGGTGTAATGTCAGGGCTCCCCAGGTGTGACCAGAGGTGTGTGACTGACGCAGGGAAACGCAGACTTCAGATATGTGATAAACAATATAAATTATTAACACTAACAATAAAAAACATAAAACGCAGTGCAATACTAAACATAATACAGTGCAAAAAAAACCAAAACCAACCACCCACAGATAACAGTACATACAAGCAAGCGTCGTCAGGCAGGGCCGGGTCCAATATCAATTGGGCAGGTAGGTACAGGGGGAGCAAGCGGAGATTGGTCGGGGTCACAGGCCAGGTTCAGCAGGTAGCTAGCAGCGTAGTACAGAGGGTCAGGCAGAGGGATGGTCAGGGTCACAAGCCAGGGATCAGAACAGGTAGCAGGCAGCGTAGTACAGAGGGTCAGGCAGAGGGATGGTCAGACAAGCCAGGGATCAGAACAGGTAGCAGAGAATCAGACAGGAACAGAGAGCAGGAACAGAGAGCAGGAACAGGGATACAGGGCCCAAGAGAAACACAACACCAAGGCCGAGTCTGCAAGTCTGGCCATCCCATAAATACCCCAGCATAATCAGTTTCCAGGTTGTTAGCTGGCTGCAAAGTTGAGTCTCTGATTGCTGGGAGCATCCGCTGGCCAGCCCTGGTACTGCAGATCAAAAGGCAGGGAGTCCCAACCATTGCTGCTAGTCCATTCCTGACAGAGACATTAGTGCTGCTCTTTTCCTTAATACATTGTTAGTACGAGAGGTGCAATGCTCAGGAGTCAGGGCCAAGACCTCCTGGCAATTAGAACACCAACACAGTGCTCTGGAAGGAATGGCACAGGCATGCCGTTCCTTCAGAATGCATATGTCACCTCTAAAAAAAACCCAAATATCTCCTAAACCTAGTGCATGTTTAGGAGGGTATTTATTTTTCTTAATTATATGCTTATAATAAAGCTTACCTGTAGGTAAAATAAAAATCAGATAAAGCAAAGAAGCAGAGCGCTACTGGTATCAAGCCAAATATATATGAAAAGTAAAACATAAACCCAATTTACAAAATCATTTCCGACAGTATGTATGTCCAAGGTAAACGTTTAATAATTCCAATACTAGGAACCTCCATAAAAAGTCAAGTGTCAGATTAGAAAAGGACATAAATATTAAACCACACATTTTGGCTCATGCACCATGCTGCGAAGTAGATAATCAGAGCAGATTACTATAGGTAGAATGTGGATCCGATGGGTGGAGGAGTCTGGTGTGAGATGGTAACAGCATACACTGGCTTGCATGTTAGTGGGAAATCAAGCAGAGGGCTGAGAGAAACCTCCTTGGAGTCACCAGGACTCACTTCATTCCACCTGAAAAGCAGACTTTGCCTGCCAGCCGCTGTGCCACTCCGTGCCCTCACACTCTCTGCTCCACCTTCAGGAGTGTTGGCAGGGTGCAACGAGGTGCAAGAGAAGCCTCCACGACATTCCAGTCATCACCAGGTATGTGATAGTTGACCTCTCTGTCCCCGTTGAAGTGATTTCTTTCTACTTCTTGTCTAGATACAGAGTAACAGAAAATCTCTCCAACAAAGTCATAGACAAAACACATTTTTCAGGCGTGAGGAAAGGTTAAAACTTCTTAGAATATTTTTTTACTGCTTTGCTGAGCCTTTTGCGCTGAGTGACAAACATGCCCCCCACTTCTTGTATCAGTGTCACATAGCCAACCAGAATCACCTTGTATTGTGTTGATTTCAGAAGAATGGAATTCTGCAGAGTGGATTAACTAAACTTAAAAGTGGATCTACACCTAAAAGGGGGAAGATTCTTGCTTTAAGGACTGGTCCCTGCTTGCCGTTTAAGAATTGGCATCTTTTGGGAGTGGAGAGGGGAGTGCAGGTACCCCGATTTTGGCAAGTACCTCCACCCACTTCCGCTCCAATTGCCTAGGCGATCGGAAGTTCTCTTACTCCCCTCCATGCAGTCTTCTGGGACACATGACAGGTCCCAGAAGACTATGGGACCATTCATAATGCGCAGCGCGCTGCTCGCTCTTATTATTATTATTATACAGGATTTTATATAGCGCCTCACAAGTTTGCGCAGCGCTTTACAATATAAAAGGAAGGACAATAACAATTACAATAGTCATTTCAGGACAGAAGGAATAGTAGGGCCCTGCTCGTGGAGCTTAACAATCTAAAGGAAGGGTGCTCATGCGTAGTGGGCACTCGGCTGTAAGGGTGCAAACGTAATGTCACAGCTGGGTGCCCACACTTAAGGTGCGAGAGCTGGGGCAGAGAACAGCAGTGAGTCCGTCTGGGATGAAACACCACACCACTGGATCATGGGACAGGTGAGATGGCTGTTTTTAAAGAGTCAGCAGCTACAGGTTTTGTTAGCTGCATGGACTTTTATTTTTATAATGGTTTGACTGGAGCTATGCTTTTTTTTTAAATAAAGGTTTATGCTTCTGTTATTGCATTTGGATTTATGTTTTGTAGTTCTTTTCATTGCAAATTGTAGAGAATTCTACAACTGTCATTTTGCAGCAGTGGAAAAGACGTAGCAAGCAAGGAATGAAACCAGTCATGTGTCCTAATATTCACAACTTCACCTGATTTTCATTTTTCTGTTTTATAAGGACTGCGCATCTGTTGCTTTGTTATTGCTCCAGTTTTTGCCCATGCTGGTTATTTTTGGAAAATATAGACTTTCAAAGTATAAATAAGGCAAAATAATTACATTGCCTCTAATCAATCATCCATTTACTGTGTGATTCTCTGAATGATAATCTGCACACCGCTATAGCAGCTCATTTACGAGGCAAAACAATACATTTTCTACTAGAACGTACAATCTTGGATCGTCATCTCCTTTAAGGTTCTTTATAATCCTTTTGATTAACAATAGCGTGCTATGTGAAATCAGCAACTTTAATCTTTACGAAAAAAAGTCTAAATTACAGGTGCTTTATCAGTATGATGATGGTGATTCAGCCGATGAAATGTTATTTCAGTAATACACTCCTTGTATGCAGACATTCGATTGAAGTAGCTCCTTCCTAAAGGTTTATTCCACTATTGCAATGCCAGACCATAATAAAGTCCTGCTCCATGTATCTCATTTACTATTTTATGTAATTCAGTATAGGCAGGTTAAATAACAGTGCTTCTGGATAGAACTACCACTTCTTGACACATGATATAGACCTCCATATAGAGCATTTCTCTTGTACCTGGTAGAGGCAGAGCTGATGAGACTTCCCTTGCACTCTTGTCCTATACCTCATGGCGGCTGGTAAAAGGGGGTTGTAGCAAGACAAAAAGTGGCAACATGGTTGCATGCAGTGGGAGGGCTCTGTCCTAATGCCATGGGCACCCTAGGCATGCCCTTCGGGCTCCAGGTTGCATGGGGACCCCCCCCCAAGATAATCATACATTACATTAATACGTACTAACTGTCCGGATTTGTCTGGGACAGTCCACGCTTTTTACTAAGCTGTCCTGGAATGGCTTGTATATAGAATATACTGTATGTTTAACTCTTGAAAGTAGATGCATAAGTTGGGACAGGCTGGTAGGGTCCCAGTGCATTACTTTGCCCAGGGGCACATAATGCTGTTAAGATGGCCCCTGTCAGGCACAGCGAAAAGGTAGCATCCAGCAGCATTACTCCTAGAATGCTGTGGATGCTCAAACTGGAACTTGTGCAAAAAGATGGCACTTGACTAAAGTTTAACAGGACTCACAGGTGCAGAAAAGAAAGCCAAAGTCAAGGCAAGTCAGCAACAGCTCGGCAGCAAGAGGCTACCAAATTGGAAAAGTGGAAGCAGGGTCAGAAGCCAGGGCTGGGGGCAATATCAGATGAGCAGCAGAAGTACCAAAAATAGGCAGACAGAAGGTAAAGTCAGGACATAAACCAAAGTATGGCAGCAATGAGGATCTGGATACAGCAGAGCCTGGAGGCAGGCTGGGTCAAAACACAGAGCAGCAGAAGGATAGCACAAATAGGGGGTCCGGTGAATGTTTAATGCAAAAGAGTGAAAGG